TGACTAATCCAACTGTAGATACCTTTTACCGATATTTTAAAAAAGCCGGAAGAACAGACGTACCGCCAAAACTCCACTATGAAATGTTTGATTACCGCAGAAATACTGGTTTATTTTACAAACGTGAAGAAAAATACGGCGATGTATTATTAACCGCCAAAGGAAACCCAGAAACACTCGTTGGTCTTAAAACAATCGTGCAAAACGCCAAAGATGCTGGTTATAAAATCGTCAAAGACAAATACGGAAAAAGAGATGAAGACACAATGTCGGCGCAAGAATTTATAAGATACAAATTAGGATTTAAAAATTATGGAAGATCGGTGCAAAAAGCACAAACAAAGTTAAAATCCATTCAACCCGAGATCATTCCAATGGAAGAGCTTCCCAAAACAGCCGACCAAGTTAGTGACATCGTAGAAGAGCTCACCCAAGATACAAACGTTCAAACAGAAGGATTAAACTATAGAGAGCTCTTAGGATTAGACAAACAATTGCGAACGATTAGAGGACAGATACGATTAAACGAAGCTAAAATTACTGAAATTCAAGAAGAAATAAGTAGACTCGAGACTTCTGAAGATTCGGGTCATTTACGTGAATTAAACGATCAACTCGAAGGACTACAAGCTCAAAGAGACATATTAAACGGTCAACTCAAAAGCCAAATATCGCGAGTTAAAGATTTAATTAATTACGCTTTACATTCGGATGACACCCTGGGTGATAAGATTCGAACGATATTTAGAGAGCAAGGCGTCACGATCGTAAGCATTTTAACGGCTTTTAGTTTAGCGGTAAGTACCATCGTTAGTAGTATCGTAGCTAGCGTTAGAGCTGTTGGAACTGGCGGAGCGATCAAACCAACGCCTGAACCCGCACCTAAACCAACGCCAGCTCCTCCCTCCAAACCAGGAATTACCGATTGGATCAAACGTCAATTACAAAATTTAGCCAACGTATTAAAGAAACTCGGGTTGAGTGCCTTAGGAGCTTTGCCTGGGATCATCGGTAGCATTTTGAGTTGGATTTTTAACGTGGCGAGTAAAGCTGTCGGATGGGTGGCAGAACACGTTTGGACCTTGTTCGTGGGCGCGGGTGTTCTGCTTTTGACATACGTGCAAAAGAATGGGTAAAAATAGATTTTAAAATAAGATAAAAATTCATCCCAAATTTGGGATGAATTTTTTTATGCCTTGCATCAAAACGTTTAAGTTAAAATTTTATACAATATAAACCCGACGACACCCACTGCAACGGCACCAATGGTTAAGGATAGTTTCTCTTCATTGTGGGCGTCTAAAGGCTTACTTAAAACTGGATTTACAATTGGCTTTGGTAACACTTCTGGTTGAATCGCTTCTTCATTAGTACTCGTTCTCGCTGCGCTCGTAGCTCGCTCGCTCCACTCGCTCGCTCCGTTATTTAAACTCGGTACGTATCCAGTCTTCATATCCTCAGTCGCGACTTGTAAATTATTGTTGTAGCCCTCAAACGTACCGATGCGTAAGTCCATATCCGAGGGTACCAGGTACAAACCTGGGGCAACTACGAAGTTTAAAGGCGTTTTTGCCTACTGTAGCGAATCTTGATATTGGTCAATCGACTGTTCCAAATCGGGACCCGAATTAATTAAAGATTCTACGATCGTAATAAATTGCCGTCGCGCGTCTAATCCAGTGCCGGTANCAAAAGTTCAAGGTCAGTGAAGTGGAAATCCCCGGCGCTAGTCACGAGTTGTTTAGTCAGCGAGCAAACGAGCGAGTGGAACGAGCGAGCTACGAACGCAGTGAGAACGAGCGGCGCCGGGGTCAAAAGGGCGTGTGGTGGGTGAAAGAGATTTTGGCTCAAAATGTAAAATATTTAGAGCCAGATTTTAGGGGGGTCGATGAGGTACCCAGGGATTTTTGCTGAAATCTTGAATTTAAGATTTTTAGGGAATTCCCTGAGATTTTTGGGCCGTATAGGTACCCAGGGGTTTTTGTTGAAAACGGTGAAAAGGGCGTGTGGTCCGGAACTGTCACTTCTCTACTACTTTATGAGAGCGAAAATAGATGTCATTAATACAAACTTCCCGTTTTCATTGAACTACTTCCCCAAACCGAAATAATACACATCAATCCCACGTCCAGCTCTCAACTTCTGTTCGGGTCTTCTCTGCCCGAACTTCGCCACAATGCCCCCGCCCCCTTTGGCATCTCTGATCCACCACAGGATCCAACACCTTCATGCTCCAGTGCACGTGTGGCCAGTAATACAAGCCGCAAATACCGTTTCAAACCCCACCTCATCCGGATTGCCTTTATAAACCAACCCTCCATATGAACCACAGTTTCCACATCTAACACGGGATGAAGTGTTTTATTTCGATGGCAGAAAAGTCTAGTGTGAGGCATTCATTTTTCCACTGTAGTTTCCAAGCGGAGAAGTCTACCGACGAGACAAGACTTTCGTCACAGCTGTTTTCACTACGGGAATATCTGCCTTAAGTTTGCCCTGGTTGAAATGGACGCAACGGGGTCACTAATGTGCACATAAGCACAGTAAAAAAAAAAAAGTATACTCAGTAGTGGGATTGGTGTATTTTCGATTCTGTGAAATAGTTTCATGAAAAAAGGACGTTTTTAGTATTAACCTCTAGTTCTACCTATTAAACGACAAGTCCTTCATTTCAGGGATTGTTTGACCCCGAAGAACCCCACGCCCCGTGTTGGCAGAAGTCTCTCCCGATTGAGGAGACCAATGAAATCACATTCATTGTAATCTCTGGGCGGGGCATGGGGTTGAGCTATTTTATATCGATTTTAGAAATGTTTGCTGTACTTCATTCTTTTCTCCATTTGGGTTTCCATACTAAGAAATCCCCCTACGCGACAAAACGTTTATCAGACCCTTTTTCACAGTCGAAATCCGCAATTGCCATGGTTGAAATGTAGGCGACGGGGTCGCTTCAGTCCAGGGAAACACTTTCATCAAAAGAACTTTAGAGCTGAACGTAAGATTGACGTGTATTTCTTCTATTTCGGAAAGCAGTTCGATGAAAACAGGAAGTTTATTTATAATTACCCTCTAATTTCGCTTTTATAATTCCACTGGGGTAAAAACCCTGCGCCTTCATTTCAGGGCTTCTTTGACGCCGAAGAACCCCACGCCCCGGGTTGGAAGGAGTCTCTCCCGATTGAAGAGACCAATGACATTTTAGTAGTGTTGTATAAAAAGGAACAATGTTGACAACATGTACTAACTTTTGAGAAAGGAACTTTTATTCTAAACTATTTTACAGCTTGTACAAGAGAGAGTGGGAGTTCTGCACGTAGAGATGTTGCTTCGGAGAGTGGTTGTGATGAGACTGGCTAAAAATGACCAAGTGGTAAAAATAGGGTTGAAAACATAGGCCGGAAGAACAAGGGTAAACCTAACTAAAATCTAATCATAAAGTAATAAATCCTAGACCAGAAGTCTGCCAGAGAAATGTGGTAAGAAGGCCAAAGCAATAAAAATGGGTCCTTGTGTAGGAGTGCTCTTAAATCAATTAGGAGGCTTGACATTACAGGGTCAAAAGTTAAAGGCTCTTAATCTACTACTGGGAAAAATGGGATCTACTGAAGATGCAAGTGTTCTTAATTTTACAAGGGGGGAAAACGCTACAACATCACATTCAATGTAATCTCCAGGCGGGGCATGGGGTTCGGGTATTTCATTTTGGTTTGAGAAACTCAGTGTAGTGTTAGGCATTCACTTGTCCACTCTGGTTTGCAAGCGAAGAAGTCCAGCGAAGAGACACGACTTTCTTCAAAGCCCTTTTGACCGTGGAAAACTGCCTTTGCCCGGTTGCAATGCAGGCAAAGGGGTCCCTAAAGTGTAAAGAAAGGCACCCAAAAAAGAACGTTGATGGCTGGGGCGTCTGACTGATTTCGGTGAAAACAGGGAGAACATAACATTGACCTGTATTTCTCTTCTAATATTTACAGTGCCAAAACAAAACATGCAATCGCCTACATCTCAGGCTTCTTTGACCGGTTACCCGTTGGCCCCAAAGAACCCTACGCCCAAGGTTCACTTTGAGGGAGAGAGTTGTTTGTTTACATTATTGTGAAAAGGCACGTACAATGTAATTTGCGTACATGTGAATGGAAGTGGACGTTTGCGGTGTGTTTCTTTTTTGTTCCTTTGGCGCACATATTATTCTTAGGCGTGTGCACCTTGAATGTCATACTGTTACTTATTCAACGTTCGAATATGGAACAGTTACTTGCTCAACGTTGGATGTCGAACGTCAGACGAGGATAGGAACGAGGAACTAACTTCAGTTGGAGTCTCGCTTCTCGATCTCCAGCGCGGCCGGCCGGCTGTGTTGTAACAGCGCCCTCTAACGAAATAATTGATAGCGCTTGCTGCTGATTTGATATGATATATGATATGATAAAGTTCAGACCCAGGAGCTACGATATAAGATCTGTTTGAAAAGTCATTTTGGAGGTAACTACATGTAATAGGTTATTTTCCTGAGGTTGTACAATTTGCCTAGAACTAAGCCCACCTGTCAGCCTGTCATGCTTGACGCTTGTCATGCATCCTAGCCCACGTTGCTTGGGAGCCCATCTGCATTACACGACGGCTGACGCGCTGTCCAGGTTCTGAGACTGGTGTACATGTACAGTACATGTACACGTACGGCCGTACAATGCATGTCCCTAGTCTTCTGGTCGCCTTGTCCCTTATTTTGCCACTTATGGTGAAAACCAAGCAGACTTTACAATAGGTGTGGGCCTACATGTTGGTGGCAAAATTGGGGCATGATATAGGGACCTGGCGACTGTCTGACTAGGCTATACCTTCATTCATGTTATACATGATACTTTAAATTGATAGGGCTGTAGTGGCTCTCTTTTACAATCCGTCTCTTATCTGGCGACAGTTAAGAGAAAGATTGTAAAAAACAGCCACTACAGCCCTATTTGTGGGGCTAGGCCTATACCAGTTGTATACTGCAGCCTAGCTTACTACTAGCTCAGACAACACAAGTTTGGTGTGTGCATATGCTGTTGTTTACACGTGACATGTGCTTTTAGAAAAACGTTTTTATACAGATTAACATCATTAAGTGTCATATTTTAGATGAATTATATCAGGAATGAACTTCATAAATTTGGAGACAAGAGATTGGCCACCAGTTGGGCCAGCCCAACGAGGGCCTAATGCTACAGCACTACAGTTGGGTCAATGGGACAGACGTGATACATGTACATGCTGTAGTTTGGGGTGTGCAATTAATGACAATCATGACACCTAGCCTAGGTTTGACGACGTCTTCATTTCTTATTTTTTCAAGATGTATTTTTTTTCAAGATGTATTTTTGCGTGGGGGAGATGTTAATTTATATAACGGGCCTTGCCCTTACCCAACGTATATATTAATAAACACTGTATGCTCAGTGCTTGTCCGAGAGCTTGCAAAAAACCTCATAAGCTTACTCGGGTGGGACTCGAACCCAGGACCTCCTGCTTACTAGTGCAGACGTCTTAACCACTCGACCACCGAGCTTGCTGGGGTCGGCTGGCCGGTCTGAGTCAGATGAAGCAGCGGGTACCGTGAACTATTTCAAGATGTATTCACTGAACACTGGACATCGGTCACAGTCTGAGCTGTAGTTGGGATGGGAGAAAACACTAACAAGAAGACAAAATGTTAGCCTACATGTAGCTACATGTAAATGTAGTTATGCCTAGTAATGCTGCTGGTGCACTATGTCACAGATATGACTTGGGTAACTCAAGCCCAAAATTGCTCATGACAACTGGAAATTTGCAAATTACAAAATGTCATGACCACGGCCAGTATTACTCAGGGTTGGCACATGCATGTACAAACACGCCCAACTTCGCGCAACACAGCAACATTCTTTGCCAACTACAATCATCGTCATGGCATGGGGATACTTAAAACGTGAAAGGGCATGCAGCATCAGATTCGAGGGAAGCAGGGACAACTTTTGTGACTTCCAAAAGTATTGAAAGCATCACTGCTTGTAAAATGATTTCCCTTTAACCCCAATCATCAGTGGCCCTTTTCCAAGATATCCCTGAGAGTATGTAGTTGAATGTACGTGACCCTCACCACAAAATGAGCTGAAGGTCAGAATTTTCAAACTCTGAGCTAGTTGAATTTAGCTGGAAGAGAGCTTTCCAGTGGTATACATACGGTAAAGTACATGAACATGTATAAGGTAACCAGGTACAGACAATGCTCTCGTCAAAATTGCTGAGAAATGACATTTTTATATATGATCCTGCAAAATGTTGGGAATTAAATAGGACAAGGGTTACTCTTTCAAATATAGCAAAATCCCAAAAATAACGGTTTTGAAAGAGCGGGATGTGACTTTATCATGTTCGTTTTGTTGTGACAGGTCGAATACGTGTATTCTCCATACTGGTTATGTTGGCCAAAGAAAGGGGGGAAGGGGGTAGTAAAATGTTTACCTCAAAGCAGAGAGGTGAAGGGTATACAGTGATGTTTGGCCAGAACTAGTAGTACAGCTGTAAGTTTAGGGGGGCACCCTAGCTGGCTTAGCCACTGGTCCCTGGCTGGTCCCATTTTTTTTTCTGATAGAAGAGAGCAATACAAAATGCTTTTTTAAATGTTTCCCTAGTTTTTGTTTGTCATCAGTTGGTTCTTTAACCTTACATGTACTAGTCCTCATCAGTCCTCTGATTTCAACATGATTTGATATTTGGGTTAGGGTTAATACAATTGGCCTGCTGCAAGTATAGACTCTGGACAAAGTCAGCGGATAAATTGGGACAAAACTACCTAAGCACAAGTCTAAAATGAATGGCTTGTGACATTCTGAATGATGCATGTCTTGCACAATGCTGTAATTGTTGGAAGTTGGGGGTTAGAGTCATACATTTACGTAGTCCTACTTTATAGAGTACTAAAGTTTACTACGTCACACACACCATCTTTTGTGTAAAATGCATTAGGGTAAGAACCGGTGTGTGTGTGTACTCCATTCGTCTATACAGCATTTACTGGTTCAAAATGTCGTCACACTTTGGTACTCTAAAGTAATCACATGACTCTGAGATTTTACTATGTGAAGGTCCTTGAGCAACAAATGCCATGCTAGGTAAAGCCAATTTGTTTATTAATCTTTCACCTTTTTTCAGCCATGGGGAAGTATGCAATAGCTTTGATCATCGTAGCGATTGGAATCTGTACTGCTGATGGTTTCTATGGTGATGGAGTGACATCACACAAGCAGAGTGGTTCATCTACCTTCACTGCTGCAGTGTATCAACATGCTGTTCGTAACTGGTTCCTGCCAAACATCACACATCAAGAAGCATTGGCACTAATGAATACAAATGTTGATGTCTATGAAATACAAGTACAAACTGCTTCTTCCAAGGTAAGCATGGTAAAACCGTCAACACCCAAAAGGAACACTTGGGAGGCATACAAGATGGGAGAAATAGTGGTAGGGACCCATCACCCAGACCCCACCCCTATTCCTCAGGGCTTCATTTCTCTGTTTGTTACACAAGTCTTAAAATCTAGTCAAGCAAGCATCATGTAATTGTTACATACATGTACATGTATTCCTTCACTGTTGATCTCTCTAATTCTGTTGGTCATATTTACATGCATGATTACATGTACATGTATGTGTATATAATTAGTTCTAATTACACTGTGTCATTATTACTTCTATCTTTTCAGGGAGCCTCAGTGATTGTTTTTCCCGAGTACGGAATCACTGGTTTCCAGTTGTCACATCAATCCATCATTCCCTTCCTGGAGTATGTTCCAAACCCTTACAAGACCCTTGTTAACCCTTGCATTCAAACACAATTCAAGAACTCACCCATTTTACATCGGCTCAGCTGCCTTGCTCGTAAGCATTCCATTATTATTGTTGCTAACATGGCAACGATGATGCCTTGTACAAAAAGTCAGGAAGACCCGGACTGCCCTACTTGTGGCATGTATAGGTACAACACTGATGTCGCCTTCAGTGCCGATGGACAACTTCTCGCTAAATACAATAAGGAACACCTCTATGGAGAAGAGTTACTCATGTTCCAACCAGGCAAGGGCCTAGACAACTTGGCAGTCTTCAAAACTGACTTTGGAGTCTTTGGTCTCTTTACCTGTTTTGATATGTTATTCAAAAATCCTGCTGAGTCTCTCCTTGATAGTCTTGGAGTGACAAACATGATTTTCCCAACAGCCTGGATGAATGAACTTCCACTGCTTAGTGCTGTAGAGTATCAAGAAGCATGGGCTATTAGATTTAATGTCAATCTGCTGGCTGCAAACATACAACTGCCTATTGCCTTGATGACAGGTGGAGGATTGTATGCCGGTACAAAGGGTGCCATTATGTACCACCATGACATGGCTGACTTTAAAGGTACACTCTTAATTGGGAAGTTGCCAGTACACTCAACAAGAACACCAAAGATGAACAGTAAAACTTTTAAAGTTCTCACCAACCAAGTCAGAAATCTTACTCCAGAGGAATTTCAGACAGTATCTCCCATCATCAGAAGGATCCTAAAAAGTAGTGCTCAATTATCAAGTGAAGTCTCAAAACCTTATGATTTCTCAGTCCAATTCAAATCAGTCACCACATCCACCATGAAGTCATTTTCTTCAATGATGAATCATGACCCTTACACATTTGTCCTCCTAACTGAGATTACTAAGAGTTTATCTGTGTGTAATGGCTCCCTTTGTTGTCATCTGAATTACACCTTTTCCTCAACCTCTTTTGGCAAAGAAATGTTTGCATTGGGTGTTTTCAATGGTCTCCACAAACACAATGGTCAATATTATGTCCAGACGTGTGCACTGGTCAAATGCAAGTTTAACATTCCATCAAGTTGTGGGGCAGAAACTGTTCAATCTAACACTCGATTTGAAAGTTTCAGTTTGACCATCACTGGATTTAACCAGAACACTTTTCTTTTCCCATCGGTCTTGACGTCAGATATTCGTTTGGCAGTGATCCGTAATGACTGGGAAACAAACTTCCCTTTTAATCATATCTGGAGTGAAAATGGAACCCATGGCTTTCTTCTTACAGCAAGTATCTTTGGCAGGTGGTATGACAAAGATTAATATTTACCATATAGCCATACCCCAATCTCATTGTTTCATCACTGCCCAGGTGTAGTGGTTTCAGTTTCTCAAATGAAATCATTTGGCCAACATAAGATCAATGAAATTTATATGGCATTTTACACAAGTGTATGTAAACGTATTTGGCATGTTTGGTATAATAATTGGATCCACTAAAAAGGAAAGTTTTGGGTCCATATGTGAAAAGCTTATTTTATACTAATTTTGTTTCTCGCCGCTGATTGCTTGATGAGATTTCCATCAAGATAAAGAATAAGGCAGTGTTCTTGAATACGCAAGTGCATACCCATCGTGTACCACTCTGGAGGGAGACTAAAAACTCCTTTTTTGGTTGCATCATGTTTATTAAGTGCACATGTTCAACATGATGTAAAGAGCAGAAAAGGACTATTGTGTGCCATGCTGAGTATGTTAACATCTCCAATTGTCTTTATTAAAGATGTGTATGTACTATAAGGTGTATGAAAGTACATGTATGTCGATTTTGTATTTGTCTTTGTTAACTGTTGGGTTCTGTTCACCATACACGACCTTGTGTCTAAAAAGACCTGTGTATGACGTCACATTAGAGGGCATTTCTTTCTTCCTCTGGGATAGGCTCAAGTAAACCTTTTGTGCTTTTATCATCATTAAATCTGCATGTAAATAAGTGTTCTCTGTAAGGGCACTCCACGCAGGCCCTCTGTACTTGTACATACTGGTCACACTCGCTCCGAGTGTTTTTTAATATTAAATTTTTGACCAAAGGTGGAAGTCTCAATATGCATGAGGTCACTTTGGCGAAAAAAATTCAGGTACCAGGTGAAGTTACTATAGCATCAATGCACTTGTAAGCAAATTATTATGTTGTTCTCTGTTTATACTTGGCATTCCACAATTGAAGCAACAATGAGTTTGATGTCATGTTCATGAATACATTGTATTAACCAGCCCTTCTAACTGCAGCTTGTAAATACATTGTATGCATACTGAGATTTGAAACCTTTGTTTTATGAATTGACATAGTAAGGCCTCAATGAACATGACTTCTGAGATTGGACATGGCTGATTGTTTTTAAATCATTCAAACATTATAATCAATACTGTGTTTTTATAATTGGTCAATTATCCAATGTAAATGAAATATTAAAGAGAAAAATGAAATGTTTATACTTTTTTAAGCTAAATATTAAAATAAATTGCAACAAAATGGAAAGTGAATAGATTCTTGTGATATGCAGGTTGTTCTAGTTCTTGTTCTGGAGTAGTAGCAAGTTAATGCCATAAATACATTTAAAGGTATGGTTGCAATTCATAGAACGTTTTCTTATGAGAATTTCCAGGCCAAATTGATCAATCATTTAACAAGTGAATGACCGACAGCCAAGTTGTAAATTAATGAAATGTACCTCAAATCCTTCACAAAAATCTTGCAGTACTCAAGTACAGAATGACAAAATACCTTTGAGTGCACATGCACATAGCATTCATCGCCTTACAAATCATGATTCCAACTATTTCCACCATGGAGGTAACTACAAGTAACAAAACTTCCCAGCAGGCACATGTTGCATGAACTCTCATGGGCCACTGCAGGTGAAACATTTTGTCCGGACTTTTAGTTCTTTTGCACTGAACGAACCTGCTATGAAGGAAGCTACCTACATGTACATTGTAAAACCCTATTTTCCCCTGGTAGAGTAATGTACATGTAGAATCTGCCCATGTCTTAGTCTCATTGCAGAGAAGCACAGTGCCCCCTTTAAAGCACGTGTAAGTCCATTGGGCAATACAAATATGCAAACTGTAGGCAATGAAATTATTCTACCCCTTTTAAACTCTCACTGCTAGGCTAAATATATGTACATCGGATGTTTATTGAATGTACATGTATGCACCAAGTTCGTTTTACAGCTCCATGCCTATCCACCCCAAGTTAAAGAGTATGTTCACTAGTCATACTGGAGAGACAGGCTGGTTGGAAGTTTTGGCAACTAGGAATGCAAAGACTGTACATTCAAGACAGAAATGGATTTTGTGTGTTCAGTGCATTGTGCTTCAAATGTGCATGAATCTGTTCGTGCACACAGCGAGTTCCCACCAAAGGACCGCCAGTGTTAAAGTAAAACACATCCTCTTAAAGTTATCAGACACAGCAGATACACAACCAAAGCATGCAAACTGTAGACTAGGAAATTTGTCCTTACTAAGACTGACTACAAGGCTGTAAAGCACCATCTTATTATGCAGTCAAACACACAAAGAAGCGCATTGTTTACAAAGTCACGTTTACAACAAGGATAGTTTCTTTGTGTTTCTTTGTTTTCCATGACTGATAATATAAGGTAACTGTTATAAATAGATTATTTGTAAAGTCCAAAGGACCTTGTTGTAACAGTGTTCCACTGTAATGAATACACTCATTCCATTAGGATGTCCAAGCATACAAGCTGTAGTCAGTGAAATTTGCTCTGTACTAATTGCTGGGCTACATACATGTAGCTCCTATTTTAATGAAAGCACCAAGTCCATTATTTATGGGCAGCCAGAGCGTGCAAACTATAGACAATGAGATTTGCTCTTTAACTGTCACTGCCAGGCTGCATGACTCCTGTATTAGTGAATACACCAAGTCTTTTAGGCATTCCAAGCATGCAAATTGCATCAGCCTCATTGCTAGGCAGCGTAACATTGTCTTTAATGAATACAGAATCCAGTAAACAATTCATCAAGCACACCAAGCTGGAATTTGTCTTTCACTTACACGTACTCTCATCAGTATGTCTGCTTGGCTACATGGCAATCACTGTAATTCACACAAAATCTAACACCTGTGTTTTATGATTCAAGTGTTTGTGTAGTGGATTAATTTTATATAGTCCCAGGCATGTAAATGTAGTATTGTTTTGGTTAATTAGTACCAGCTGTAAGCCATTAGCTTATTGCTATTAGTAAAGATTGTACCAGCCAAGAAAATACCAGTCCATTTTAATGGAATGAAGTAATTTACAATTTCTCCTCAAATATGACAATTCCATACTTTTTTCTCATCAGAAACTGAGAATTACAGTGGCATGTAAAAGGTTAAAATTTTCACATAAAAGTGACTGCCGGTACATAGCAACAATAACACTAAAAATGTTGTAAAACTGTTAAAAGCTACTACTGCATACTAAAAATTACAAAATACTTAAACTTCTTTAAAGTTATCCAAAAATCGTTTTCTAATTTACAAAATATTTCCTTAGCGCATATTCAAAAGAATAAATCAATCACAATACAGAGGAATCCAAGCCACATCATTTTGAAGCAGAGATTTGTAGTTGACATATCCATTAAATATGGCTGAATTTCAGAATTACAAAGATCTCGTTATTAAACCTTAGTACAATCATTGCATAAAGTTTCCATAAATAATCAATAACTTTGGTTTTTGCGAAAAGTTGATTGCAAATTAAACGTAATCTTGGAAGTGCCAATTCACAGTAAAACTACTGAAGATGTTTTGCACAAGATTTACTCCCAAATTCCACTACACCCAAATGCTTAAATCTATTAAAACATATATACCAAGCATGAATTTCTTAACTTATGTCAGAAGTCACTGAAATATGTGTAATAGTGACAGGATAACAAAGATGGAACCGATGAAGTATGACAACAGGTAGGTAGATTCTAGTGTGTAGAGCACCATCAACCACAAGAAGATGTGAAACATCCAGGAAGACAACTTGCAAAGTCCTCTGTTTAAAGATGAGTGTACAAAAAAATGAAGCAACCACCATTAAGAAACAAATATAGCATTGCGAATCAAAAACAGATTGTCATCTCAACTTACAAGAAAACCTCCAAGTAACTGGCTTGACAGTAAACAAACTGAAATAATTCTGTCTGTTTTTCATCATTCAAAAGGAAATACTTTTAAAAGATGTGTCAGTAAACCTGTCTTTTGGAAGGATATCTGCCACATCAAAAACAGTTTGAATGATTCAATCTAGTGAATTTAGTGCATCATGTCAGTTAAATCCGAATATAATATTATGCATGGGTTTTCACTGAATATTCTCATCAACTAATCCTTCAGTAGGTTTGCTCTTCAAACATCATCTGCGTCAGATCCAGGGATATGCTATTCCTCATACGTGAGACACAGTTCCAAAACTGTGCCTTAGAAATGAAGTGTAAATAAACTGTACAACTCACTTGCTGGTTGGCATAGCGTATCTACCATCCAACAATGTTGCCATGCTGCTACAAACAATAGCAGATATTACAAGGGAAGGATCCTGGGAAAGATGAAGACTATGCCTAAAACACAAAGTGGGGGAAAACATGGGAAACTTGTAAACCTGTTTGTTAAATTAATTAGACTTCATTCCAAACAGGCCTAAGATCATGAATAAAATGGCAAACAACAAATTGCCTGGCCCTACATATACAGGTGGGTCTAACAGGTTGATATAAGCATTCAAATAGATCCTCTTCATCTGTTTGTTATGTCATCAATCACACATCATTGAATGATTTATTCTATTAATCTGTGACCATTGGTAATTCACCGTTTGATAGAATGTTTCAATGTGATGAGTTCACATACTAGCTAAGGCCACACCTCCTCAAACAGACAAAATGCCAGCCAAGACCAATATATGTCAAACAGTCTTCTGACAGATAAAGAAATGTCTCAACATGTTAGTGGTACTGAAAGGCATATGATGTATAGAAACAAAATAAAAATATGTTGCCAAATGATCAGTGCAGCTTGTAAAGCAAACAGGAACATCTTTTGATGCCTTGAGTATAATAAAAAGTGACAACATTGCGTCATGTGTCACAATTTTATGCTGGTTTGAGAAAGTAAAATGGCAACAGCACACAAAAAAGGTTCTGTTCAGGACTGTAGAAAACAAATATGGATGGTTCACATCTATTCAATGGAAAGTATAATGTCATTCAGTGACAAACTGTGTGCTGTATTAGACAAAGAATTGTTATTAATTATTTGGCACAATCAACAGCAGACTGTCTGTTACCTCATGAAATTATTCTTACCATTACACATTCTTTTTATTTACATGTACTCACCCTAAATTCTTAAACCAAACGACAAGTGCTGGAACATTCAGCATGCACAAGCACCATAGAAGCAACATGACAGCAAAATGGAAATTGTACATGTCTTTGGCCAGTCCTAGCGGTCTAAGATCCCTAGGTTTAGGGGCAGCATCATCAGGCTTGGATGGTTTGACTTCATCACTGTTAGTAGCTGATGGATTTTCATCTGTCTCTGAGATATTCTTAGCATCAGTAGGCATGTCCACTTCTCCTTTGGTTGTGGGTGTGGCACTGGCATTTGTATCAGGGACAGCACCATGCTTAAACAAAAATGGTATGAAAATGAGTAAATCTGCATCTGCTTTGTATAAAAAAGGAAGGAAAGAACAAAACTAAGCATTCAAAATCCTCACCTGTGATAGTTCCATGCTGGAAACAAGTAATGCATAGAAAATGTGAAAACCTTCATTGGTCTTATACTGATGCCATATATCAAAATTACAATATACTTAGTTCTTTCCCAGCAATTATTTATGTCTTAGGTAAGGCATTTTTCCCAGTGTGGCACACTTTAACGACTCTGCCAAAAAGCTTGCCAAGACCAAATAGGAATACATAAGGCAGATAACTGGCTTGAGGATTTGGGTACTCTATTAATCCTACATAAGCTACCTTTTCTGGACCTTCTCACAATATTTTAACTGTCCCATGGCCATTTTGGGAGAACTTGGCATGCCTACAGATACGGCAATTATAAGAACATCTATATGAAGTTAAATTCAATCCATTACAGGAGTTTACTATTATGGTCATTTACAGTTCAACACTTCCGAAACATGTAAAAGATTTAACAATGTCATAACATTTTTACTCCGACATACATGTATGCAACCTTCTGAAGCCAATGTAAATCTTTTCTCTTCATTTCCACACTTGGTAAAATAGTTCTTTGTAAACATAAAAATCAATTGGGTCTAAACATGGCACTACATGTATTTAGCAGTGCTGTGGAGGGGTCCTTTTTCAAAACGACTGCTTTTCCAGTTTGTGAAATAGCATTTGCTTTAGGGGTGCTGTGCTTTGGGTGTGGATTTCTTTTAAAGTCATTGCTCAACCCACCAAAAATAGAAAGGAAAACAAAAGATGGCATGTTGATCATTATTTCTGTGCAGCTTGAACACCTGTGAGAAATTTATCACTAGCGTCTACGATGTAAACGAATGTGAAATTATTTGCCCTTGAGAGCGTAGCACCAACTTCAAATTTTGGAAACAAACTGGCTGTTTATTATGCGTATAGTAGAGCCTGTACACCAACTATCTGAGTGCATTTGTGCATACATGTACACCTGCTGGTTTGTTTCCAGCAATGTTTATGCTTATGTCACAACTCTCTCTATACACAGCTCTGGAGGCAGAAGCCACACACAAAGTATATGTATTTAGGGTGTGATCCCTAGCAATATGGTGTTCGGGTTTCAATGATGAAAAATGCATTCATAATGAAATATTGGACAAAACAAGCAATGCTCATGTTTGGCTTACAATATTGAGACAGTGACTGAGTCGAATCACCTTGGCCTTCAAACCGACAACCTACATGTAAAACAACAAATGACAAAAATGTTTTGAGAAACTGAATGAATTACACATAGATCTTTGGATTACTGCTGAATAACCCTGACAAATGACACATCAAGTACGTACATGTAAATCTTCATGATCAATCAAACTCTTTAATGTGCTAGATATAGAAGCTGGCAAGTTATTTTCATATTGTTTGCCACAATACCTATTAAAATAAAAAATGTCCAAACTGCCTTGGCATACCTTGAAGAAGTAGAGAATGAGAACTAATATGAGACCAAGAGAACCACAGGTAGTCGCTGATAGTGCTATCAGTCCAGCTATAATACCATACATCAACCATGGAGTGGGACCAGCTGGATTTAACAGGTGCTCATCAGGCTTGGTTCTAATAGATGGAAGTACAGCAATACATGGAACAGTTTCAACATAGCAAGTTCTAAAGAGTCCATTTAAATGTGTGCGAGACCAGTTTAAATATGTGAAATGTGAAAATGCATCCTACTTGTTCTCAGTCTGTCCATGGTAAGGAGGGTAGTGGATGTGAGAGGACACGTGGCAATAAGTTTAGCAGCAAGCTGTCTGAAAATACCCATGAAACAATACACCTGCGCATCTACATGAGTATCTTTGGTCGTTATTGAACTTTAAAAAAGACCTTCCCTTATCTCCTTATTGAAACCACAATACATCGATTCTGGAAATGAACTGACTGCACTACCAAAGCTCTCAGTTCTAGTCTAGTTCCTAAGCCTCCTTCCGAGAAGTGTCAGCAGACTGACGAGGGACCATGCCTTCTCAGTTTTTGCGTAAACAAAAGCCACCTTCCTCAGTATATATTTTGTATACACATTGATGCTAGTGAATAAAGACAAGTTAAATTAATTTGATAGGTGACCTTCATTGATTCTTGCTGTTGGACACATGCAGTCTATAAACCATACAGTTACTCATCACAGTTATCACTATCCCTTTCCCTCCTTCCACACAAAGATACGCCTGGGGTTAATGACAAGATGCATGTAAATCTTGGCTCATGACACTTTTAGTTCCCCAGTGTACAGACTTGATACATAGTACTTCCAAGCTTTAAACATGAACCAGTAGTTTTCAATAGAAGTGACTCACCCTTTAAGTATAACAGCAAGTCGTGCACAGATTCCCACCTTAAAATTAGTCAATATAGCCAGCTGGGTCAGCAAAGCATAGGCAAAGAGGAAGAATGCCATTGGTAGAATAGGAAAAGAAATGTTCCTGTCTTCAAGAGAGCGAAGTTGAAAGGTTTGATCCAAGGGTGGATATCTGATTGATTCAAGAAGATATAAATATACAAATTAACAAAAATAGACCAAATAAACAGCCTCTAACATGTAAGTATTCTGTACATGCATCTGAAGCATTGTACATGATAAAAAGGACAGGGAAAACCTAAATTCTATAAGAAATGCCAAGATAAGAAAATAAAGTCCACACATCAGTCTGACAATAGGCATAATACATTTAAGTAGAGGTTGCATACATCCAAAGAGGTACATACATGTATATGTACAATAAAACTAGTCTCCACATGGTATTGGAATTCCAGGGTTTCAATGCATCATTGCACTCTAGCTTTACACGTACTTACTTGACAAGGCCTCTAAAGATTGAAATAGGCAGGGCTATAGCAGTGGGCTTGCAATAAGTTGACTGCATCCATATGAAGTCATCTATAGCCTCTAAATTTAACAAATACAAAGAAGGAAAACTCATTAAATCAGATGAATACATTTATAAATCATTCCTGTGGAATCACATTAGAAAAATATTCCTTGACCCCAGAGGAATATTCATCTGTTAAGGTACAGATATCAATCATGCAGGTTGATGACTCCTTGTGCCTGAACCTTAGGTACAGTACAGACATGTATGTACATGTTAGTCATGATAATATCACTTTCTTAACACTGAAGGCTTACTCATGTTCTCTCGGACAATATTTAAGCACATTGATAAGACAGAAAGGAAGTTTAACATAAATTAAGCTGGGATGCCAATTGTAGTGTTCTAAATAAATAAGATATGAAAATGCATCACATTTATTTGTGTTATCTGACATGTAATCAGAAGAAGCTTCACTCACTCTCTGTATAGATGTGCTTGAGTTGAAAGGAGATGAGATATACCAGTACAATCACTAGAAAATTGGGAAGTAGGTTTGCATGAAACCTGACAACCTGTGAATAGAAAATAAAAACAACAGAGGAAAATTGGGGAGTAGGTTTGCATGGAACCTGACAACCTGTGAATAGAAAACAAAACAACAGAGGAAAATTGGGAAGTAGGTTTGCATGGAACCTGACAACCTGCGAATAGAAAATAAAACAACAGAGGAAAATTGGGAAGTAGGTTTGCATGGAACCTGACAAACTGAAAATAGAAAATAAAACAACAGAGGAAAATTGGGAAGTACATTTGCATGGAACCTGACAACCTGCGAATAGAAAACAAAACAACAGAGGAAATGAGATAAATAAAATCTACTGAAATATACCATTGTAAGCATAATTTGCAGACTTGGATGTTTTGTACAAACTTAATACAAATTACGGAATGTGATGGGCATCCTTGTTTGCTGGCCTCATGTCAGAAAATTTTTAAAACCTGATGAAAGAACTTTCTAACAATAATTCAAAGCAGATTTTTACAGTAGGTAAGGTAGCTGTAAATAAGACTGACAAAAAAAGAAAACAGACCGATCTCAAACACACCAGACAAAGTACAAAACTGTTGAAAGATACCAGTAGGAATAAAAAAAAACGGTTTGATGTGAAACCTTTATGGGAATCAAGGTTTGCCAAATGGCAGACCAAGTACTGACTTCACTTATTCAGGTGCATGTAATTCGAGCATTCAAAAACTTCACAAAGCAGAGGAAACTTGTTTTTCAAAGTGAAGAAAAAGATTAATGAAGTGTTTATCTGTGCATGCCAGCAGTGACCAGCAAAAAAGCTTCACACTGCATTCCACGTAGAAATAACAAGTAGAGTTACTGACACACAAGCAAGCACAGCTGAATTGGGCATTGTGTACAAAACACTTGAAGTGCTTCAGAGTATCTCATTATACATGTACCTCAATATGGAGCTGATAAAAGATGCTGTCCTAGCACAGAGGTTCCACATTTCCCCCTCTCCTGCCCAAGGGTATCTTCCTTAATTTCAGAATGATGCTAATCAGCAAAAACTAACACCAGGACCTAATACTTGGCCAGCAAATTAAAAAAATGTGAAATACATGGTAAATGTGCTGCTCGCTTTCCTTTTTCTATACTCTAGAGTCCTTAATAAATAAACTGCAAGCTTTCATTCCACACAAGGGCTTCCTGCAAAGACCATTTCAACTCCTTTTTGTGCATGCACAAAGTAGATTAAATTCATAAACCATACATCCAACTACAGCAAGAAGAGCTGTACTTAGCAATACATTTGTTTATTTGACTACGCAAATTTAATAGACATGCCTTTCTTTGCAAATGAAACATGATAGAACTGTTTATGGAGATGCCATGCACAATGAAAATACTTCCAGCATAAAACTGATGTGTCCATGGTGACACCAATGGCTTTAAGGTACCTAGCAACAAAAGTAACAGATCCCAAAAGGGTTATTTTTAGGAACAATTGGAGCTTAACTACAAGGTTAAGGGATTAAGCTGGTACTGGACTAGTATTACATTCAAAGGTCTAGAAGACACAAAGAATATAACTTAGAAGGTTTCACATCAAATCTTGTCAGTGTTCTCTAACATGGTTGGCGGGAATAGCAATGTTTGCAGTTGGCCTCCAGGATAGGATGTACCAATTCACCATAAGCTACATGTATCAGTACATAGGACTCCAAAGGTAGGATGTTGCCTTTTTGAACAGCTTTGAAGTTCTTTAAAAGTTCTGGTTAGAGTCTAAAATCATTTGGAATAACTGTTTACTCAAAGAGTTCATAATGAATTTCAATTCAAAGATTTTTTTAAATTGTTACTCATCCCTTTTCTAAATTTTGTCAAATGAAAAACAGTAAAGTCAACTACATGCACATGTATGCTGTACAAAGCAGATGTACCGGTACATGTCACATGTACAGAGAACAATGACAACTATTCCATACTATTATGGTCATGAATATCAAAAGGAATGAACATATACAATAACTCTGATCAGTTGGGAACTTGGGAAAGTGTGTGTGGGCATTCAACAGAGGAGTCTCCACTGTCCAAAAACACATGTACATGTATGTGACAAAGATATTCAAACCAAAAATTAAAGCCGCCAAACTGTAGTTTAGAAGAAAAGATGCAAGACCTGCAAACTCAAAACACAAGATGGGACATACTGGATACATGTACATAAAGCCAACACAACAGTACTTCAACCTGCATGAGTTTGTTTGTTGAGGGTGTTAACAGATTGAAGTAGTGTTTAGATAACACAGAGTAGGACCACCTGTAAAGATGTGGTAGTCTAAAAGCCCACATGAGAATCACCTAACCTAGACCTGCTACACCTACAATACATGTAGCATAGTGATAAAATTACCAAAGTACAAAGGAGTGCACCTGGTACTAACCTCTTTTTGTTCCTAGAAGTCATACCATCTGAAAGCCAAATCGGCAATCTTTTTAGAATTCAGTGTGTGTCAGTTAAGTCTTGCACTTACTTGCTCCTACTTCATGGTGCAAAAAGTTTAAACTGGAATTATCTCAGGTGAGAATTTGATAACATTTGATTTAAAATTGTAATGGTTTTATTCTCATCTTTGACATATGAAAAATTTGAATGATGTCTGCTAAAACTTGAAGAAGGTTGGACTGGATTTCTTTGGCATATTTTTGGCCACTTGATGAGGCTTATGTCACAGTATGGGCACAGATTTCACTTCCTTTAAAAAACAGTCTTAATTAATTGGTTCCACCTGTTAGGGTATTTGAGTAAGAACTCTAGTCTTAGCAGTCTGTATCACTGCGTTTACACTTGATCTGGCGAGGAGGATCAGATACGGAGAGGGGGATCAGATTCGGATAAAAAATGTGTGTAAATGCAACTCAGAATCAGATCCTGATCCCGGGATCTGATCCTCCTCTCGGGAAGGATCAGATCCAGTTCAGATCCCGAGTGCAGGATAAATGTGCAAGTGTAAACGCAATGCTGGATCAGATCCCAGGATTTGAGGTAACTGTTCGCATAACCTTTGCCCTGTGGGATCAGGATCCAGTGTAAACACAGCACAGATCTGATCCCCTTTGCTTGCTTTCTCTGGCAGATCTGATCCTCCTTTGCAGGATCAAGTGTAAACGCGGGGTATACTCCCTTACAACTTGCAATCCTTGGATAAACACAGATCATGACACCTAGCTAATACATGTTTTCTTTTGTTTTCTACAAGTATTCTGTTTTCAAGTATCTGCAATGTAATCTGTCTCATTTCTCCAATATTCTTTTGTTGGTCTTCATACCATAAGTGATGTCTCTAAGAGGAACAAATCTCTCAAGTTGAAATGCACAACCTCTATTGTAACTTTGCCCACGATATGAAAAAAAATATTTTCCTATATTTTTTCTAAAATATTTTTCTTAAAACATTCAATGTAGACTTTCCAACAGTTCAATAACAAGTCTATCTTTTTGTGTTTCATTCAGGAGTCCAATCTTACCAGATCATTAGATTACTGCCATGCCCTCTTTTTAATGTTGTATACTTCAGGTCACAGTCAGGAAGTACAGTAGTCCACAGCAGTTTTTATATTTTACTCTGACAGATGTTAATATTTAACTATTTGGGTATGCTATGGAATTCTCTATAATTGTTACTTCTGGAAATGACTATGAGTGGAGTCTAAAGCCACACTGTACCCTCAAAATGTTTAACCTTGGCAAGGCAATCTACACGCACATGTATCATAGCTACATGTATATTTCAACAAATTTGTTATTTCTTAGTCTTTCTCTTTGGTCCATTTTCTCACGAGAACTATCAATATCTCTGTAGGTAAGAAAGAGGAGATAATTGTTTAAAAAGGCTACATTGTAAAATAACCAATATTGATTTAAATTTTTCACCATTTAAAGTCTGCAAATAAAAAATAGATTTAAAAATTTATACAATGAAAGTGTACATAGTGTTTTCCTAACGATCAACCAATTTTCTGGTTACCCCATTGGTGAACAATAGAGAAAGCTACCACTTTTGTGTCAACTGCTTTGGGGTATTATCAGTTGTCCTAGTACCAGCCCACTGTTGTGTTTACCTTGTCAACACACTAATACCTTGATCATCCCTCCAGCTACATGTAGCTCATCTTTTCAGTAGTAGCATGGCAGTAGAGTGCCTACAGCCACAGTCTGACGTTTGCAGAATAGAACACCTACATTCAGATTTTTCAGCTTGTCAACTTAACCAAAGGGATGTGTTGCTGAGGAATTCTGTTTTAGAAGGAGTAATATTGGGATTGACTTTACCTTTGGCTTCAGTTACTGTATTAATGCAAGCTGGAAAGTGAGCCTGTCACAGTTTACATGTAACTCCATAAGTGTGTGCAAAAAGTTTGACGTGAACATTTCCTGTCTTGGAGCTGGTGATTATCTTTACATTGGATTTTCATGTAATACTCCAGCATGGTATGTTTCCATTTGGTAGGTACCTATTTCCATGAAATAAAATTATAGGCAACAAATTCCACAATGCTAAAAATGAAAAGTTTGTGTCTTCTTTAGTATTACCTCTTTTTACTTACTGGCCTTTTTTTGATTTGCCTCTTTTACTAACAGTTTTCACAATTTCACACACAGGTGTGTTTCTGAAGACAGTTCTTGCAAGTAATATTTCAAGTGCTGTCTGATTTCTTTTGTTTTATTTATTTTGTATTTATTTATTTATTTGTTTTATTCTTGCTTTTTGCTTTTCTTTGAGGGTGTTCTTTTTCTTAATGGTGTCTCTTTACAAATGAAATGCAATCAAATACCCTACTTCTTAGTAACATGCTAATTTTTCACCAATTAAAATCTTTATCTATGAGTCTTGCAATTGTGTACATGTACATGTTACGTACATTTAGATGACTGCTCAGGACATATCAGTATGTAAATGTACATGTACAACATGTACAAACAAGGTATCTCCACCACAAAAGAAAAGTTTGGGGAAAGCAGTTAACAAAATGTGATGTGCCATTCCATGCTGAAGTAACAACAAAATACTTGTAGCTGATATACAACATACAGTACATGTACTGTAGGTGTACTTGTACTTTGCAGTAACTGCAGATTGACACGTGAAGTTTTCTTTTGTTTCTATTAAATAAACAATGTGAAGACAAAGGGTATTTGGTTCAGGTGAAATTAGTTAGAAATTGACTGAAAACAAGAAAGCCATCTGCAGAACAAAGTAAATACTGTAAGCATATAGAAACTGTGCCAACCACAGACGTGAACATACATATGTTTGTGTGTGGACACAATGACATGTAAATGTGCATGTCATTGTTGAAAAAGACAAAAACTAGTAAATTGAGTAAAGATTTTCGGTAGAAGATGCCACATAAAGCATAGTTGTATTTATGAGCAGATGCACTGGAGGAAAGTGTTCCAATAGCAACAAATATGCCCCATAAAACATGTAACTTTATACCAATGATCTCCAAAGTACAAGTAACCTGGCAGCCAACCAAGTTAGCTTGTCTTTCACTGAAAAAATCTAGCCACCAAGTAAAAAAAAAAAGACCGAGTGTACATTTAAAATGCTCTGGGATATTTCATCTCACACAAAATTATCTTGATGAAACAGTGTCTACAACTGTCTGACAGTGTTCCTGCACCTACGGGGCAATTAAATTCCATGACTTTTCCATGACCAAATTATGAAAATTCACAACCAAATAACACAATTTCTTGGACTATTCAGCCTTTTAGGCTGCAAAGACAGTCACAGATTTTATAGGCTTATTTCTGATAATAGATATCACACAGAGTTCCATGACAAAATTCAATGACTTTTCCATCACTTTAGTCATTTTTACAAAATTCCATGACTTTTCATGAGTTTTCCAGGCCACAGGAACCCTGGTCTGAACTTTTTCATTACAATCCCCCACACAAAAAAATAACCTCCAGAACACCGAGAAGTGTTGCTGACCTGAACTCATTTTTAAGTGGCATTAAACCAATGGTAAGGCTTTGCCCCTCCCCTCCCTGATATATCAATATTTTTGTATATATATTCAATTTGGAAAACACTGTTTTCACATACTTGAGATTTGCCGGGTGACAATTAATCATGTGCAATGCTGGCAATTTATTTGATTGCATATTGCAAAAATCCTCTTTCAATGACCTGGATGGGATAAATATGATTATTTTATTATAAATTGTTATTTGAAGGTAAGAAGTTGTTGATTAATGACACACCTGTTTGAATAGATAGTAAACTTACAACGTAAGTGACAGAACAATGTAAAGTTATCAACAATGATCAAGACAAATATTGATACATGTAGTGAGCTCATGGTGTAAAAAGATCAATCAGATATACATGTAATAAGATTTCTCTCGCAATCTGGGAAAATTTTCATACACATGTACCTTGAATTACAATCTTACACACCATTTTAACCATTTTAAAATACAATTTTGGTTTTGGGTTTTGGTTTTGGGTTTTGGGATTCAGGGTTTTAGTTTTTGGTTTGTGGGTTTTTTGGCGAGGTACACTACTGGAATACTGCTTAGTGGAATAACTTATCGAGATGTTTGACAGCACACTACACACACATACATGTACAAACAAGTACATGTACATGCAGATGTATCATCTTTGTTAATCGTTACACCCAGTTACTATATATCCTTCAAAGACAGTTTGTGATTTAAAAAAATATTCTACCTGACTCTCTGAAATGTTTAAAAATATCACACTGTTGGGATAAAGAAACCTGATTTTTAATGAATTACAAATTTAAGATGTCATTTTACGAGTGGACCTTGGGCTCTTTTACATTGCAAAGGTTACAAAGGTTATCAAAGAATGAACAAAGACTACAGATTACGTTATCCTGAGATACAAGGTGCAAACTGCTTCTGATCTTTCTGTTCAATTATTTACTTGACCTTCTTTTAGGAAACCATTTATATTTTGATTTGCAAACTTGGAGTTGATGTTAAATGGATAATGTGGAAAGACTATTTTTTTATACCCATATGAATATTGAGAGATTTATTATGGAAGTGTATTGTGCCGCTGTACATTTCTTTAGCTTTAACTTGTTGAAAACAAAGTGTCAAAGAAAACATGTTACCAATGTCATTTTACATTCACTTCAAAGTAGTTGTGCAGAGCAAGAAGAAAAACCAAACGTAAACTACAATCTCCCCCCCCCAAAAAAAATCGGAGCAAAATTTAAAACATATTGACAAGATTTAGCAGATCACTTTCAGATTCACATGTACATGTACACGTATATTGCAGACTTGTAAAATTTACCTTATTTGTCCACACTCACGATGTTCCTTTGTTTTGTTTATATATTCCAGAACCTGAAGTAGACAACCATGACCATGTGGACAGCTTCACATGATAAACCACACTACATGTACCTGGGCTGATTACACAACGAAATACATGTACATCTCTGATAAATGCAACCTTTAAGCTCTCAATCATCCATCTCATGGGAAACATCCTGTCCCCCGATATGAAACTCCAGACATTCCTATGTCGTGCAAATTTATGGCATGACAAGATTCAACGTATGACCAACCATCTACAAGTTGCCAATTGTTGCAACACCCAGACGGCACATCGCAGGATATACATGTTCTGATGATGACTGTTAAGCTGAAGAATGCATGTTATTGCATCTGCAAAGACCAAGATGATTGAAAATTGGCAAAAAAATTGAAATGATTTTTTTTAGATCTTGTTCAATCTACACAGAGTACTACCTGAATACTGTGATCACTGCTTATAAGAACAGGAAAGTCCGACTTATATCTTGAATTAGAAAACTCAATATTTCTTCAGAAAACCAAAAGTGCCTCCCAGACGATGAAGACTGAAAATTCACAAACACAAGAGAAATGGAACTCTAACCCTTGTTTCACAATGGATTTATACACAGACAGTGAAGAGTCAGGGTCTATGACCGATATCAGCACAACATCCTCAACTATGGACAATCTGAGGACACCAGACTCAATAACCAAGACAAACCCTTTTAATTTTAATGACAGTAAAACGTATGGTGTGATCACTAACATGAATGTCCCTCAGTCAAAGATGGGTATAAAAAGTCTATCTACTTATGAACTGCAAAGACAATCAAACATCCGACCAACACCTGACTCACTACTAGACCACACACTCCTTCATCCATCTCCTGGTCACCATAGCATGACCAATCTGGGGACTGAGAACATTCAGAGGACATCTTATAACATGGCAACCATGTCACATGACAGACTGAAAAATGCACACAGAGGAGCGGGGAAGCGAAGGCATGCTTCAGTTACTTCAAATTTGGAGACAGATGCCTGCACATGTGGACTGACAAAGCATTCAGACACTAACAGCAATATCAGCTGCGATACTGGCAATATGCAAACTCATGAGAAAGTCCAAAACAGAAATGAGCACTTGGACCTAAGACCAATTCAAAGAAACAGTCCCTACCCACTCTGGAAGTTTAGTAAATCTAAGAAGCCTCCAGAGACAGTACTGGATGTTGCCTACAGGACAATTCTTGACTACAAGCATCCAGTAACACTTCATAGGCAACCGAAGGCAGATCGTCAGATGGACCATTATGACTACCTCCCAAGTATCAAGGTCTTTAGTGAAGAAGACCACCAAAAACGAGAAGCTATGCGATTCCAGCTAAAGTACCAACTACAAATGGAAGAGAAAAGGAAGCGACAAGAGATCCTGGAGATGGAACGTGATATTCTTCCAGAAAGTGAAAGGGAGGAAAATGTCCAAAAGAGCATCTTCCTCCCGTCAGGTGAGGAGTATGAATTCTCGGATGGTGACATCTCCACAGCAACCCTGCCTGTTCCTAGCCCTAGAGGGGAGCGCAGGAGCTCTACATCAAGTCATCATTCCAGCAGAAGTATTCATAAGCCAAACTCCCCAAGACCTGTGTCATCCAGACGTAGTTCTCATGATATACATGTAAGCCCAGCCAAAAGCCCACCTTACACAGTCTCTGTTATGCCTCCTCCTTCTCCTTCATCGCAAGGATCCAAGAGACGACATTCTGTCAGCACCTTAGTCCGTCGACAGAAGATGTTCAATGTGGTTAGCCACTGGCCTGGTATGGGACCTAACACCAAGCTGTATGAGATTGAGGAGCCATCTACCCAAATCATTAGTGAGGAGGACAGTAACAGCGAGATGCCTAAACCCCCACCTATCCACCACACCACTAATCGAGGGTCACCTGTCCGCCAAACTAATCATGCAACACCTGTCAATCATGCCCATCACAGGAGCAGGAACTCAAGAATGTTAAGTCATACTGAACACAAGACTGTACAAAAGGGGGCACCATCTCTGACAAGAGAAATGTTGTGAAGATTTGTTAAATTGGCAAAGTGCAAAATTCACAAATGTCAAATGAACAAGACTGCTGTAAGTGAACCTACATGTATTATAATCACAAACATGTATCAGGACAACTTGTATTTCATACATGTATATGTATGATACAAACCCTGCTACAAACTGCTTGCTGGCTACACAGTGACCTAAATATTAAAAAACTTTGAGGGCCTTAGCGCTTTAGAAAGATTCTGCTATATGTAGGAGTGAAATGTCAGGCACTACAACTTTTTTAAATACAAGTAAAAAAGAATAAGAGATCTGTATACAAAAGTGAAGGCATGTGTATGTAGCGGTACATGTAAAGTGTATTATACTCATACATGTAGATACATGTACCCTGGTATATGTACGCTGCAGGCCTGATATAAGCTATTAGTTCTAGCATGTGAACTGCATGTAGCATACATGTACATATAAAGGCCAACAGACAGTAGACTGTTATGTCTTGTTGTCTTTCTTGATTATAGTACATTTGCTGGTCATTTTGTTCTAATTAAATAGTTTATTTTTGTTCATCTTTGCTTTAAAATTATTCACTTTAAATTTATACATTGCGTGTTTATATTTATTTTAATTTTGTTAAAGATCATTTTCGTGTTGGCATTTTAAGTTTAGGTAGGCAGGCTTCAGGGCTACAAGTGTTTAAAGTACCGTACACTCTTGCTTCCATGTACATGTAATCTTGCTGACTTGGGAAGTCTTTCTTCCTTTATTTTCTGCCCCTCTTTCGTTTTACTGTTTATCCTCCCTTCTACCCTCCAATCTGTTTCTTCTCCTCCGTCAGCCCACGACTCTTACATGTACTTCCTTCAGTCCTTTCAACTTAGTCTAGTTTTAGTATTCTTCTGACGTCACTGTCATCATTCTTACCTCTTTTGTCGGCCAAACAAAATGATATAAATAAACATTACATGTACACATAATAGCATCTCATGGTAAATGTTAATTATACATATCAATTGCCAGTTATAAACTGTGCAAAGAACCAACCTCATCTACCATACTTAATTTATTTTAACTTGTACAGCAGATATTAGTAACCTAATAACAGTCCGGTATCAGCCTATTCCAGTTAAAGCAAATTATAGTCCATGTTGACAGGACATTTAAATTTTTCAAGTAGATTACTGTCTTGTAATTAGTTAACATGTATTTAAGAGAGATGTTTCAATATACCGGTGCATGTACAATGGAACTGATGTGCATGTACAGTCTGTCTTCCTTGACTTGAAGTACGCCGTCACTGGCAAAGAAGAGACAGGTTGGTTAGAATCATTACAACAATTGCCAATGCTCAGTGGTTGGTTAGAATCATTACAACAATTGCCAATGCTCAGTGGTTGGTTAGAATCATCACAACAATTACCAATGCTCAGTGGTTGGTTAGAATCATTACAACAATTGCCAATGCTCAGTGGTTGGTTAGAATCATTACAACAATTGCCAATGCTCAGTGGTTGGTTAGAATCATTACAACAATTGCCAATGCTCAGTGGGTTCAGTGCCAAATCAGTGCTCGGTGGTCGATTGGTTAAGNTTTATATACGTTGGGTAAGGGCAAACCCGTTATATATAATTAACGTTAGACACACTTTGCTATGGGGTTTGTTGATGTTGATACCCACTACACTTGTACATGTAGGTCATGTGACTTGGTGGGTGCAATCGGTCTATTGTTGCAATTACACATGCCATGCTTTAGTACAAAATGTACCATTTACTTGCAAGCAACTGACCAATGTATGGATAAAGTTGACAAGGCACTTAATAATCCACTGTAATGTAATGTATCCCCTATGAAAGACATGTGTACATGTACAACGACTGCATTGAAATGAAGTAAACTTACCTTTTTATGAACACAAAAACTTGCTGCATTTATAACATTGTTAATGAATTATCGTCCAGTTACTGTTTATGGTCATTAATACTTGTAAGATGTTTAGAATAGGGTCAACCCTAACTCCTCCAGAATTGGTTAGCTCCAGAATTCTGCCTGTTCTTTCCATAATGTAACCATTGTTAATTGAAACGAGAGCTTATCTGTCTGTTTGCCAACAGAACAGAGGGCTTTTTCGCCTTTTGATATTTGACCAATTCAGCTATAGCATAAACCTTTTGGTGAAATGATTTGAGCATGCCCAGAAAGGTTCAAGTTTCGAACCCAGTCATACATGCACTTCAAGAGACAGCACCTGGGATAGTGCCCCCTTAATGTCACATGGCATGATTATCTGATGACGTCATTATTACATTAGGTCGATTTCATCTATAAGACTTATAGTACTTTAAGGGATGCACCTTTAATATCATGTGATTTGTCACTTTATGATTTGTCATCATCAGATAAGGTCAATGTTTGCCTAAAGCACTTCCTTTCCAAGATATCTGCAAAGTTTGAAACCAATTGAACATGTACATCTGGAGATGTAGTACTTTAAAGTATGCACCTTTAATGTCACGTGGTTTGTCAGTTAACGAGGTCATTTTCACATGAGGTAAATATTCATCTAAATCAGTTCCTTTTCAAGATATCTGCAAGGTTTGAACCCAATAGGACATATACTTCAGGGGATATAGCAAGGTTTCAACCCAGCACTAACACCAACAGACTAATCCCATAGAAAAAAAAATTAATACCTATTACCACTTTAAACAATAAGCCTACTTCCCGTTTCAACTGGAAGGAAGGGTCACGTGATTTGACCCACTAAAGATGAATTGAAGGCTCAATGTATACTCTGGCGTATTGTCATCACCTGAGGTTAATTTCCATTTGTAAACCTTCCCTTCCTAACTGCTTGCAAGGTTTCAACCCAAATGACATGTACAATACAATGTACAATACATAATACTTATTGAGGAAAAGGCACAGATTAGATATCTTAAACATTTGTCCCTTTTGGCGTTCCATACAATGCGATCCGCTCTTGGCAGCACGTGGTCGGCATTTTGCCAAGTCCCGAGTATAATGCTCTACGCACTGTGTGCCGTCTATGCTGCATGCTAATGGGATTTTCGAGTTGGCAATTTATATTTTAGGGGGTTTTTGTCGGCGGCGCTTCACGTGTGTAAAAAAGTACACCAGTTATGCACTTCATGCAGCTGACTCCAATGTTTTAGCTGTCATCTCGTGCACAATTCACGCTTATATTGCTTATGGTTGATTTTTTACCGAATTTTGAAGAATAAAAGAAGTTTTTATTGTAACTTCCAGTCCGATGACGACATCAGCCCCAAACTTTTCACACGTGTTGACTGGGTAAAGATGGTCAAGATGGTCATGTACATCAATTTTCAGGCGATTCGGACAAACTTTGTCACGGACGTCCATTCAAAATTCATTTTTCAGAAATTTTAACTTATTGCTAGAGGGCGCTCGACAATTAGGTGACGTCATCAGTAGATAATTTGAAACATACTATACCCCAGCAGGCTAACACCGTTGAAAGCAACTCGATACCTATTACCACTTTTAAACGATAAGGCCACTTCCGGTTTCGACTGGAAGGAAGAGTCACGTGATTTGACCCACACGAGATGAATTGAAGACCACATTTTATCATGGCACTTGCTGCAAGCAGAATGTTGCGGGAGGCCAGGGCCGATTTTATATGGATATGGATATGGAAAGAAAAAAAAATCAGAACAAAAAGAATGCCTTTTTCGCAAAGTTGCGAAAAAGCCAACAGCATAAACATGTATGTATAGATGAATATGTACAATGCTGTATGACCCAATGGGAAAAACGTGCAGTCAAACATGTCATACATGTCAGAATAATAAACTGACACATGGAAAGTTACCAACATTGAGCTGCAAACTTCAGTGCAGAGGGCAGGCTATCCAGTTGAAAAGTATGTACATGTACAATCCATTTTAGTCAATTTACATGTACTGGTAGTTTTGTCAACTACATGTACATGTACGTTTTTAAAACCTACACGTATCGTAGTTGGACATGGCTAGAACAGTTTTCAGCAATAATTTGAAACAGGGCATTAACATCTTCTGTAGAAGTAATCCAAGGTATAAAAAAAATTTGCAATGCTTTTGAAAGCAAATTTCAAAATAACATGAAGTACACAAAAATCTGGAAACTGAAGCAGGGTCTCTTTATTTATTCTATCGCATGGTTTTGGGTACTTCCAGAAATTAGGGGTCCATTTTTTTGCGTGTCCCTGTCACATCTGACATATGATTTTTTAAGTTCAGTACACATTTTCTTATTTTCCAGTAGTGATGAATCAATGCAAATTACCTGCCAAACAAATTATACTAGTTTGAAATCAATTCCAGTGGTATTTCCACGTCAAAAAAAGGTCAGATGTACTGTAACAGGGACACAAACAAGTTCACCCTTTTGGACCCTTAATTTCTGGAATTACCCTTTTATGTGTCCCTAGTTGTATAAATTTCAATAAGATACATGTACTTCACCAACACTCCTAAGTGGTCACTTACCACTCAGCCACTCAAATAATTGGATGATAGTTGTTCATTGCTAACACAATGAACCAGTTGGGTGTGTCAACAGCACATGCCTAAAATGAAGCTTGTCTATGGTCAGTTGGACATGAGTACCCTATCAGCACGGCCCTGCTTGAAATACCAACCTGGCTCATCGATCTTATCTCCGGTCAGTTCATTTTGGATACTCCATATTATCATCAACATGATACAAAGAATAGACAAGGACAATTATACATGTATTTGCTGCCACCAAGCATCTTTACAGTCTCTCATAAATACAAGATGTCAGTATTGGCATGTGATGATATATACTTGTAGGTATTCCAACCAGGAAAACTGCACCCTCTCTTGGTCCAGCTCAGGCCTCATAGAATATTCTATGTGCTGCTACAAAGCATTTTAACAGTCTCCCATTATGCAAGATGTCAGTATTGTTTTGCACTCACTGTTCGATGCGGATACGTATACCAGACCATTTCAGCAACAATTAACATACCGATAAATCCTGGTCATAACAGTAATAAATAATAATTACAAACACTTGTAAAGTGCCATCTATCTACTGAACTATTACGTGGCACTGTTTTATTATGCACATCAGCTTTTGCACAGGGGAAAAAGGTCACAAATACAGTCACAAAGAAAATAGCAAATAGAAGCTTTATCTCACCTGTCCCATTTTTTCCTGTAGAGACCACACCACCCTGATGGTGTACCTACATTTAGGGTTGAGGTATGTATACAACTGGGCTGACTGATTGTAATAGGATGGCCATCCAGATGGTAGCTTAAGGGAGAGTTTATTAGTCTGACCAGCCTTGGAAACGGAAAACATGTCCTGACCTTCTGCCCATGGAATGTGAAGACGGAGTGTTGTGTTGGCATCTAGGAAGACAAGGAAACAGGTTTCTTTCAATCATTTTACAAATGTTTACATATCTGATTGGTCAAGTACCTGGCCAAAAGGAAAACTACATGTACATGTAAATGCTGGGCACATATCACATATCATTTTGTTCACATTAACTGACAAAATAGCAAAGTAGAAGTAGAATTAAAACCTTGTCAGTGAAGAAAGCCCACCACTAGCCACTGTGATTAAAAGACTGATTCAAATTGGAATCCAAACTGTTCAATTACCCTGGGTGCACCATTAGGCTAGAGTGTATTAGTGAGCAGAGAATGTGCTGCACACAGGTATTCCTATCCAGGGAATTCAAGTCACTGCTATCAATACAGGATATTTCATGGAGTAAAGATCTCTGAATGTGAAAGAATAGGAATCAATACCAACTTTCAATCATATTCCTTCTTCAGAAGTTTTTTTTTTGGGGGGGGAGAGGTTGAAAACTAGCGGTAGCTGATTCTCACATCATCCATGGCATCACAACAACCACAGTAGAGTTTACTGAAAATCGTCTGCAGGCATTTTTTGCAAATAATTAAACCCAAGCCATATGGGTGTGCAAAAAAGTGGAATGAATTTAGAGGGTGAAGGACTGTTTAGCACATTCCAAGAAAACAAAAGAAAAAAATAAAGGACTTTACACTTCACAAAATGGTGCAACTTCTCAACATTTAATACAAAAAAATACCAAAAGCTTACCTGAATGGAAATCATTATCACAAATAAGTGGCTCTAATCTTGCTTCATAGGCCAAATGAAATAAGTTGAAGTCAAGCATGGTGATGTTATAGAATGTAGCTCCAACGTCAGTAAACTCCATTACTATACTAGCAGATGCTGCAGTCAAAAAGGAACAAATAGCCCAGTTAAAACTTATTTTTTTTAATGACCTCATCAAGATCTGATTGACTTTATCTGTGACCAGTTCGATTTTGGAAATTAACCAGAAACAATCCTCGTGAAGGGCTTATATCAGACAACTAAAAATAAAAATCACAGTTCCACAGCCTAGTTCCAAAGACGTAAAGGAGTCGGGGAGTATACTATAATTTTCTTACCTTCTGAATTCTGCACAATTATGTTTTA